AGTTTATTCACCACAGACAGGGGTCCGATGAATGTGAACATTCTAGCTCCACAAAATACTGGCCCTTATATAGGCTCCAGAAACAAAACAAAATATGAAATTCTGGTAACAAATAATCGCCAATTTTTCTTTGATGCGATATGGACGGCACAGAAAGACACCTCTAACAATTTTTCTTTGCAGCGGGAACGTGTTTACCGAGCCGTTGCCACGCAACATTAGGGGATACATAATTCAGTCCAATAAATGGCTGCTGGTCCGCGCCAGCACAGTGATGTTTGGTTCCGAGTTTCACGGGACTCAGCCGTTTTTACTACATCACGGCTGTGGAAGCTTTCAAAATACCACTTCGGCGGTAAAAGATAAAGTTGTCCCTGTACTTAACTAAGTATACGTCATGAAGGCGTATTAAGGAGTGGACGTATAGATCCACGGCTTCTTTACCTGAGCACAAATTGGAGGTCAGTCGCATCGGAGGTATATATACTAAAATTGGGGATACAGACAGACCCATATACTCTTCTTCGAGATGACACGAACTGTACAGAAAGCGATGCATCCAACAATTAATCTACTGTTGCGTGCATATTCGTTACCGCGAAAAAGTGTTTACCGAGCATTTGCCTAGCAAAGGCAGGGTTTATGCATATGCATACACACCGGCTTATGGGAGGGATTTATCAAGTACGCCGCTGAGATGGGCTCAGGTGCCATGACATACGTATATACCAAGTTTAATACTGGTAAAGGCATTCAAAAATTTATAGAGATACACAGACACAAAGGTGATCTCATAAGTTTAATTTATTTTTTCCAAATAGGGAAAGTAAAAAGAGATACAGCTGTCCCTGTAAGAGACCGTGAAAACCCATAGGGTTGTGAGACATCGAGATTCCAACATTTTCTAGACCGTCGGTTCACAGATGGCGGTAAGGTTGTCAGCCTCACCCACGGGTCGCCCTTTACCCCCAGTAAGATTCCAGGTACTCATTTCTGTTAGAGGCTTACTCGACCGCTGGCTCATACTGCGGCTGGACGTATTAGGTCGATAGGAAAATCCAATTACCTCACTGGAAATCGAACTCGTGACCTTCCGCATTTTAGCATAGTGCCTCAATCAACTACGCTACCGCCTGTCCCAAAATAAGGAAAGTATGATGAACTAAAATAAAATTGTGATTTTCTCGAAAGTCTATAACTACTTTGATTATATTTCATTAGTGTATGGGAACTACCGGCCCAAACAGAACCGCCTAGATAATTTCTTCCGGAAAATAACAAAATTCACACAAGGGGCCCAAATGCGAAATGTGAGTTCCGAAAAGAGCTTGACCGATTTTGAGTAATTTCCGTCATCTACTGAAACTATGGACTGCGGTTATTGTGCTGCACTTAAAAGTAACAGATCATTCTCTAAATAACTTATTTTAGGAGCGAAGAAGGCTGTGAACGTGAAGTAATGAAACAACTATCGTTACGTCACACGTACACGTACCAGCTTGCATATTCAGTAAACGAAAATGGCCTACCGAAAGGCAGTTGATTTCATCGCCAAGGTAAAACTTCGAAAGCCTGAACAGATTTTTATGAAATTTGGTACGTATATCATATAACCTGAGACCATCTCAAAAGCACAGTTCACATTTCCTTCCCATCAGTAATGCAAATATTGCAGTCTTTCAATTTCGAGGTAATGACGGTAATATTGCTTGAGTACGGGAACAACCCTTCATGAAACTAGGGAAGTACATCATGCCACCTGAGGTCATCCCAACAGCATACTTCATAAATCCGCCCACCCAGTAATACCGACACAGCAGCTTCCGAAATTCTTTATTGACTTTATTGTCCAAATATGTTTAATTTTCTTCTTTTTTGTCGTATCAAATACTCAAATTGTAGTGAAAGAAAACAGGAGATTAGTTCTTCCCAGGACTTTTTGTTTCTTGTATTGTTTAAAGAACCATATCTGCTATAGAACTTAGGACGGCCGCACACCAACTGCGGCAAGACAAGCATCAAGACATGAAACAAAAGACGCAATTTCTCGACGTCAGCATCATGACTCAGACCGGCTTGCGGCTGTTTTCATAATCTCATTCATTTCAACTGTACTCCTTTCTTTGCGTCATGTCGCAGATATAGTGTCTTGACTGTTACATGTCTTGACGCATACCGGTTTGCGGCCTACCTTAGACTCCGGCGACAGAATGAAAATACTCCGCAAAAGGCTGACACCAGCTTCTACTAGCTAACAAATGAAATCATCACGCAATAATGTTATCCTAGGTATTGAATATGAAATGTAGCCCATCTGCGTCTACTTATGGCACCAAACTGACGTTGGAAGCAATTTAAAGAACTTAATTCCGGTGAATAAAATCAACTTATTAGCGAATTCTGAGTTGGACTTGCTCTAATTGGGTCCCCTGAGGCGCAGTCTGGTGGCGACGAAGAAAGAGGGAACTGCTCGAATTGTTAAGAGTTGGATATTTTCGTTCCCGTTTATGAGTTCACTGAGGGGTGAAGAAGGCATAAAAATGGTGCGTATCCGGTTATTTCGAGGCAGAGGCCAGGCCTGCTGTCAGTAAAACGCATAATTGTGCGCAGAACATATTTCATATGACTAACTCGTTTAAAATATATGACTGTTCGGGATTTCACTCTTCATCTTCAAGTAATAAGACAACTGCTATGAAATCACTAAACGGAGCCAGTATATATCAGCAATAGTAGGTGCAGTAGTAGCAGTACTGGTAGTAATACTAGTAGTAGCAGTACTAGCAGTAGTGGTAGTAGTAGTAGAGGAGGTAGTATTACCAGTAGTAGTAGTAATGGTACTACTATTATCTCAATGGTGGTGGTAGTGATAGTAGTAGAGCAGTAGTAGTAACACCACTAGTATGCTAACAACACTAAAAAGTGTTTGTTAAATATTTTAAAATGTAATTAACTACGTACAGTCGTTGTTCTTGTTGCTACATGTTTCGGCCGCAAACATGGGCCATCATCAGGCAACATTTATTACTTACGGAGACCACTGCACATACACTTTGTCCTTAGTACTCTCAGGCACATCGTTGTTGTTGTTGTTGTTGTTGTTAATTTGCTTTGTAGCATATTTTCATCCTATTTTTTTAGCGGCCGTTTCAGTGTTCCTTTGTAATGTGTCGTTTAATGCAGGTGTGTGTGTGTGTGTTAGTGCTGTTTGTTCCTTATACAGCACTAAAACACAATTGAAATGAACAATACATTAAAATACACGTATATTATCCAGGCATGCTCGTAATTTCCGCTAATGGGCCTTCATATTTCGATCGCTTTAAATTTACACAATATGAACTTCCAAAATTCCCATTCTGGCGCAAAGTTCTATATACCTGTTAGTATCTCAAATCTGGTCACACAGAATGTGTACTTCTTAATTATGTTTATTACTTATTGACCGCCTTTGTGGTCTAGTGGTCAGAGTACCTTGCTACAGATCTCGAGATCCCAGGTTCGATTCCCGGCGCTACCAGATTTCTTCTGAGAAGTAGTGGATTTGAAACGGGGTCCACTCAGCCTAATATGATAACTGAGGAGCTCTTTCAAGGAAATAGCGGCTCCGGTCTAGAAAACGGAGGTGGGGAACCGTTTTGCTGACCACGTAACCAAACTATCCGCATACATAAGTTGGCACTAACTTCGCCGACAAGCGGTGGTCGCTCGGTCGGTATAGTTCGCTTGCGGACTACAGGCCATGGGGTTTGTTTTATTTATTTATTTACATCTGATAATGGTCAGTTTTCCGAAACATGTACTGTTGACATTACTGTATATGTTAGAATCGATTTTGTAAAAATCAGAACGAATATATTTCGTTGTTGTGACGGCCCTGACACCATCAAGAATAAGCAATGTTACGATCTAACACTACGCAACATTTCACGTGCCGAGCTACCATAATCATATTGCAATGTGACAACAGACTCCAGTCGGTCTCCAAGTTTCTGTTTGACACTCTGCAAATAAATAATTTTAAAAATGTATATTACTTTCGAAGATCCATTGCTGCATAGAATCTGAGCATTATATATTTATTCGTCTTACTGTAGCTCCCACCTCCATTGTTCGCACGACAATGATGCTTAAATCACTGTGAATGTGGTGTAGTCTGTAATGCATATTGTGACGTGTTGCGCTATGGAGGACAACCCCTCCCTACCCAGCGGTGACGTGGCGACATCGGAGCGCTGTCGTTACTAGGGTAACAGTCAAGTCAACATTCCTTCCCCTACCCCGCCAGCGGTGACGTGACCAAGGGATGCTGCAGTTGCTATGACAGCCGTAAACAACTCCTGACAGCGTTGTTAGTAACACCTGTAAACACGGCGACTAGGCAACAAGGAAGCGAGGCGTTTCCCGTTGCCCGGCTGAGGGTTTATAAGAGAAGTGCACTGCCTACGAAGAGAGCTGGAGTATAGCAGCAGTCGCGGAAAGAAGAACCGGACGTGTGTGATAATCGGTGATAGTTTGTGATAACTGAGAAGTTATTGGGAGTGTGTAATACAGTTGCACTTGTATAACTCCCGCGTTATAAAAACGTGTAGACTACTGAGGATAGAGTGAATTGATTATTGTGTAGGGTTGTAAATTGTGTAAACCCGTAACAGTGTTATAATTATTTGTAGTTACGACTTGTAGGTTGTTAAATAAACCAGTTAACAATCTGAACGGCGTCTTCAGAGAAAAAAACACGTTACAATATATTCGTACCAAGTTTCATGACAATCCGTCATTTCGCTCGAAATTCATCAGAGGAACAAAAACAAGGATAATGATTTTCTATCTTTGCTTGCAGAATTAGTCTAAAATCTTCCCCATCTCCACCACAGAATCCACATTCATTTCTGTAAGCCACCGCAATGAGAAGTCGACTTCCGCAAATGCACACGCAGGCGCAGAACAAGGAGCAGATAAGCTTCGTACAAAGCAGGAGTTAAGCCCTTTGCGCTCACCTTTGGATGTTCCTTGACCGGAACCAACACGCGAATGGTAACTTTCAGGGGCTTTTCCTTGATGATATCTGCAAAACGTCGCTCATCAGTGCCCGACCGGTTGCCGCTACTGTTGGCCTGCAGGGGCCGTCCCCCATTCTGCAACCGTTCCAATTCTGAAACAAGTGCAAATGAGTTTGATTTAGGACCATAAGTAAAAAAAACGGAAAATATAGGAATATGTTCGTTTGCATGCTGTTTAATGAAATTTTATCAAACACAAGGGTCATTTACTGAGCGAATGACCAAGCACTGTGAACCGGAGAAGAGGATTCAGTAGGGACCTGTCGTGGTGTACCTAAATACTGTCAGCATTCGTCTCGCTTTGAGGAAGAGCAGAGGAAACCCAGTAAGGAAGTTCGGAAATGCGGCCAGAAATAATAACGGTTACTGTTATAACAATCCTCTTCTTCTCTCATATTATACTCTGGTTTCCGTAGAATATGTAACTCCTCTAATGGTGAGGGCACACCAAGGAAACTGGCAACCGCAACGCAACCGCAACGCAACCGCAACGCAACTACAATTTCCGAGAATTATTATCAGCCTGAGTTCAACACATGTTACTGAATGGAGCAGAGCAAATTGAGCAAACGTAAATTGCGGTTGCGTTGCGGTTGCCAGTTTCCTTGGTGTGCCATCGCCCTAAGGTTCATATAACGATAATATCGTAGGAAACCGGAAACACCTTCTTTTGTTCGATAAATTGGCGCCCAATATTTTACAAGTTATCCGGGCAAGCTATGCGTAATGTTGCACCCTTAATATTATTAACAGTTTTAATAATTGTCATCATCGGTGTCAGGATCAATTTAGATAAGTACGAGGAACGGAAGCAAACTATGTGCGACTTGAATCACATGAAGGTGTTAAGTCGCGAAAACAATTATCTTGTGGGAACGTCGTTTCATCCCCTACAAGGATCTGAATTAACATCTCTCTCTCCCAGACAAGAATTCGTCTCCAATTGCCTGATTTTAACGAGCCGAAGTCAATATGAAGCGGGCATAAGCCAATCACGTAATGACTCTAAGAAGAAAGCAGTTCCCAGAGACAGAACTCGAATCCCTCACGTGGAAGCAGTCATCACCTAGTACCGTAAAATTTACCCATACCCTCCCGAACACAAACGTAACAGCTATACGTGTCAAAAGAAACAAATTCGTGTCTCCAGAAATCTACTGACTTGCCTACGTAGTGACTTCTTCCAACTTCCGTTCACTCAAAATGAATGCAAGACAAGGCAATTGTCTTGCATCCAGATACAAGGAAAAACTCGTAACTCAATAATAGCTCAGTCGTTCCATAAGAAATGGCTGTCGAGAACAATAAACGTACATGGAGAATATGTAACAGGTCTGGTACTGTCACACTGCTACGGTACATATGTCAACTTCTACTCGTACTCGAGAAAATTCACGTTCAAATCTTGTGCTGACCGACATTCTGTGATTTTCGCCCACTGCTGCCAGGCAAAGACGAAAACTGTAGCAGAACAAAGCTCTCTTCAAATCTTCACTCCCCATCGCCCTTCCTGTCATCGTGGTGTAACTTACACTGATGGATAAGAGTAAACAATTGAGCGAATAGAGAAAAGCTAGCTTGCACAATGGTGTGAGATTTTGTTCCCTCGCTACTAGCGACAGTTCTGTGTGACAGAATTCCGAACCAAACTGCAAGCAAAGGACTGTTCATATACGGGAAAGAATCTATTGTGCAGAGAAACGAAGAAAAGCTATTGCAGAGGCAACTTGTTGCGCCGTAGAAATGGATGGTACTCAGGGGTAAAGATCTCTGCCCTTGCGTAAGGAAGTGGTGTTGTATTCATAAACATAGTACATGTCACAACGAAAAGATTCAAAAACAAAAATAATAATTATCAACAACGTATGAATTAACAAGTATTAAAAACTTTTCCTCTCACCTTTCTTGCTATAAATGGCGTTCCAAAGGTTGGTAAAGTCACATGCAGGTTCAAAGTTCTTTGCATTAGAAATACATTTGTGGACTCTATCCATAACACTGTCCAGCACTTTGCTCGTCAAGGAACAGCGCGACATGCGCCATGTTTGTAGAACAGACGAAGTTTCATTCTGCACGTCTCAAGATATCAAGTAAAGTTGTGTTAGAGTCTCTTTACGGTTTTATAATTTCATAATGAGGAGAATTCATTTTTTGGCAATATGTACTAATGGTGAGGACTGGAAATATTCCAAAAACCCGGTGGCCCACGTGATTAAATACTCGGTGAATATATGGTATCGGGGCTATTATATGTATTTGAACCTTCTGTCAACGCACATCGCAATAAGAAAAATCAGGTACAATAAAATAAAAATAACAAAAAGAAATAATATATGTATAAGAAGACATAAGGGAAAATGGAAGAAAAGAAATAACGATGTAAGAAATGAAGACAAAGTAAGGAGATATGACGAAAAAATGATTCTTATGTCTGCGCATGTGCGGATGAATATGGCTATCGTCTGTAATGCATACGAGTATAGGTACGCCTGATTCGATCAAGTAACAAAACAAAGAGTTTAGTGGGGGGTGGAGTCCAAATGGATCCACTTGGCACGGCGGTCACTGATTGGCCTATTGTACCTGCCCGGGTAATTATGATGATGGAGAATTTGGTGGAATGAAGATTGGCAGGGAAAATCGATGTACTCGGAGAAAACCCGCCCCGGCGTCAGTTTGTCCGCCACAAATTCCACTTGACCAGAACCCGGGTCGCCGCTGTAGGAAGCCAGCGACCGACCGCTGGAGCTATGGCGCGGCCTGATGCATGGGACTTGGTGAATATATTAAAATCCTGAGAATAGTTACTCTGAATCGGAAATGACGGGAAAATGTCTCCCTCACGTGACTGAATAGTCTCTCTCTCTCTTTCCTGTTGCTCCCACTTCGGAGCAGAGGGCATCCGCTTTGCTTCACTTCAGTTTCTTAGTCCTAAGACAATCGGTAGGACTCCTTGGACGGGGGATCAGCCCGTCGCAAGGCCGCTACCTACACAGGACAACACCAACAGAATACATTCACACAGACATCTATGCAATGAGTGGGATTCGAACCCACGATCCCAGTGTTCGAACGGGCAAGATCGCGCGGCCACTGTGACCGGCAATTTCAGGGTCTGGCCATGGAAATTAAGAACCCTTCAAACAATTTCCTACCCTGTGGTAGCTGTGGACGCATCCAACTGGTATTCTGTTCCATGCTAAATATTTTGCAGCAGTTTATGATGAGTGCAAACAGCAGCTGCTATTATTCTGTTTAAAGTATTTCATAGTTTCAGGAACTGAGGAACAAATCTGCATTCTCGATATACGTGTAGAAAGTGTCCTGTAGAAGGAAGTCGAGAGGAGTCACGAGAACCATAGGAGTTTCTCAAGAGCTGTGCGTCCTCAAATACTCCTAAAAATATTCAAAGGATAAATATTTCTATACCAATATGGCCATTTATTGCGCGTTACAATTCACGAATTACTGAGTACCTATCGTCATGAGGCCTGTAAGAAGCCTCCTTGAAAATCAGATCCTTAAACCTCTCTTCGTGTACGAGTAGTTCGGGCCACTCGACCTCGTAATCAATTGATGCATCCTTCACTTTAATAATTAGTTCTCTCTCTGAAATTTAGCACGCACTGCTACTGTGGCTTTACTGCGGATTAATGAGGTCACGGCTTACTTAGGGATTATGGAATATAAGGTTCCCCCAGCATTCATCCCGTCGCAATTACTGCCAGACATTCAATGAAGAGGAGTGAAAATTTGAAACGTCGATAATCCGCATGTCACTTATTCTTTCATGAACACTCTTAGCAACGCAGACGTGGGGGGAGGGGGGTTCATTTGATGGGCAACGGCGAAAATTGTATGAAACTACCCATAGGCTCTGTCCGAGCGTTGTTAACCCTGTTACTGCCAGGCATAATGTTGCAAGATATGCAAAAATATTCTTAGATTTTAAAGGTCTCTGACGATGATGTATAACATTCAGAATTGGTGGGTTTTCGGACTCAGTCCATCGTCCGGTGCTCTAAAAACTAGAAAATACAACGTTTCGGAAACTCGATCTGTTTCCGTCCTCAGGTAACACCTACTCGGTTGGGTTCCTTAGAAAGAGTGGTTGACGTTAGCTCCCTCTAAGGGACCCAACTGAGCAGGTGTTTCCGAAACAACGTGTTTTCTAGTTTCTAGAATATCGGACGATGGACGAAGTCCAAAAACCCCAGTAATTTTGTAGATTATATTCTTGTTGCTTCTGACCTCTCCCCAGAACTTCTGCTACAGACAGGAAGATAATTTGTAGGATTTGAGGTTCTCAGAGCAGTGGGAATAAAGAGTTATCATATAATATAGTGTAGCCTGTTGAAAGTCAACAGATGTTTCGGAGGATAATGTTGCCTCCACCTTCAGGGTTGGAAATGCCATGTAAGAAACAAGCTTGAAGAAAGTAGCAAGCTTGCAGAGCGACATGTTCCTCCGAAACATCGATTGACCTGCAGCGAAGAATATGATGTTACATCAACAAAAAGATGGTTCTTTACTTCTGCCTGACAATGACAGGATTTACGGATCTTGGGCCCAACCTGTGTATTTATACAAATATTTCTTTCAATTTAGGCTCGTACGTAAAATAAATTTATAATTACATAACTTGTTGATCTATTTCAGCAGAAATCTTCATTAATATTGGTTCAGAGGAAGTGAAATTTGTCGGACACAAATTTCACACAGTCGCAAAACAGAGAGGTTCCAACAGCGCTTGGGCATGCTGCGGCACGACTAGTTCTAATAGTAGTTAAGCGATTATCATTAAACCGAAAGGTAAATATAGCTTTTGGGTAGTTACATTCATGTCCATCCTACAAAATTCTAACACCAACAGTAGTTACATATTTTTCTAAGATCTATTGCCACATAATTTCCAGGACCTCAGAATGGAAGAGGGCAAACATTCACAAGAGGCAAAGACCTGCTTAAGACTAATTTAGTGGCCACTACGAAATATTAACAGCAATGAACCAGCAAATATTATAAAAAAACAACATTTTTACGTTACTACTTCTCTGTTAATTCGAGCTTATGTTTACAGGCATCATATAGT